GCTGTGATAGTCTGCTTTATGCCCTGCAGTTGAAACAGTTTTCACTGTATGTGAGACACCACATGTAGAGAAGCAATGCTGCAAAACACCAGGAGGATATGCGTGTGTCTTTTGTCTCATTCTGCTCCGCTGAACTGGCATTTGAATCGGAGACATGCAGGGCAAAATGTCAGACCTGAAACACATGGAAATACATTTATAGACTCGCTGTATCTCAGCAGGGGGGCACGGTGCATGACCTGAGAGCCGGAGGTGCAGGAAGTAATATCAGATTTTTAATTTAAGTGAAAGGAGCTTTACCGCGCTGTAGAAATACTCTGTTAGATGTCGTGCATTTTAATTCATGCTAACGTACCAAAATGTAGTTTTATAATCACAGATTTTCTCATGTGGGTTCATCACTTAAAAGGGCCCTATTAGGCTTTCCTGCAGTGTGTTATTTAGGTTTTTGTGCATGTGAATGGTCTGCAAAGGTTAAAATCCCAAAGTGCAAAATACAACATTTAATGAACCTGACATTTTACATAATAGGGACCCTTTAATGTTGCAGCTGGTAAGGGTGAATCTGATTTAATCATTTCATATACTGCTGCTGGGTAGCTTAACATTTAATCATGATAAGATTATATACATTTTGCATCAGTAACATCATTCTTAAAAGTAACTCGTAACAAAAGCTATCTTATAATGACGTGCAGTTAAAAGATGTGATTTTATGGAGTGGGAGTATAAAGTAACTGAAGTAAAGAAGTATATAAATATATATACACAGAGCAGACCTGAAACTCCAGCATATATTGATCTTCATTTCTTTTGTCAGGTGAAACTTATTTTCACAGAATGATGGTTTTCATTTTCCAGATCATGGGTCAATTTCCACAGGAAGAATAAGAAAGTGGAGAGTAATACAGCTGAAAATAACCCGTGCAGTAAAAGGGCACTGTGAGTTAAACTGGAAGTCTACAGTGAAGAGAAAAAGACCAGAGGATACTTTGGCACTTTGATATGAGAAAGTGGAATATATGGCCCATATTACTCCCTAATATCTGTATATATATACTGTATATATTCCTGCCCACTGCAATAACACTGTACAATAAATCACCTCTGGCTGGAAGAGAACTATCTGCTCCATAGTTTCTCTAGAAATAAAACCACGTTGTACATTTTACTCATACATAATCTGTATATGTATGTATATTTTATATTTTATATTTTATATTTTAGTTTATTTCTATTCTTGTATATTTTGTTTTATTGTAAAATGCCTTTTATGCTGCTGTAACAAAAACAATTTCCCAATTTGGGATCAATAAAGTACGATCTATCTATCTATCTATCTATATGTAAGACTGTAGCAGCGCCACCTGCTGGAAGAGAAAGCCATGGGAATATTGTGATCGTCATCTTATGCTGTTGATTGCAGAATAGCAGACATTTGAGCTGAATAAACAACAGAGAAACAAACACTTTTAATACACTGCAGAGGAAATAAGTACGTTTCTAATAACAGTCATGAGAGGGACTGTTTTGACTCTTAAATGTATTATTTCTGTGGTCATTAAGTCTTTCTAGACCACAGACACACCAGAAACAGGCTGCTGCTGCCCCCTAGAGGCACGAAGCAGTCACATTAAAAATACATGCAAATACATATCAGATAGAGCTGTAATTCACATTTAAAAAAGGAAAACAGCTGATAAAAAACAATAGCACTTGGTATGAGCTTATGTGTCTCCACTAAGAAAAGGTTATTGCTCCGTGTAGTCTGATGTCAGTTTACTTGCAGGATCACATTTGATACTAAAAAGCATCTTTATAAAAAGAGACTGGGACAGGAAACCTTCTTTATAAAGCTGCACTGTCTAATCATTTTGATCTCCTAAAAACAAATATCTGCAAATGATCAAAAAACTCCTTTATACTTTCAGTGAAGTTGCATAAGTAAAATTCTTCATTATGCAACTTCTATAAAACCCCAGCAGAAATTGTGACTTGGAAGAAGTAGAAATATGTGTCTAAAATATGTCAGAAAATAGTGAAAATAGTTTCTCCAGATTGAAGGGGATGTTTTTAAATGAGTCAGCTCAAAACCCAATATGTAGCCTACTGCATAAGATATAAAACAGAGAAAAGCAGGACTTCTTCATCTTTGAGGCTGAAAACATAACTTAAAAGATTAATGGATATTCTAGTTTTGCTGCCGATAAGATAAGATACGAATTTACTTGTTGCGCCAGAGTTACAAAAATACAATAAACACAGCAGCATGATAGTAAAACTGTACACTGTGACGACCCCTCCCCCCTTCTGCCTGTCTGTGCTCCCTGCCTGTCTGTCCTCTGGCAGGTACTGGAAGTGTCGTCCTGTTTGTGCCCGCCCATCTAGAGGCGGAGCCCCAAGAAGGCATAAAGCCTTGCCCAGCTGGAAGGTTCACTCTCTGATCCTGGCCTGCTGCAGCAACCACCTGTGTTTGGTTTGATGCACCATCCAACATGCACACAGCACACTTCCACACAACCACACACTGCTGACACGACTGACAGTCTTATTCTTACATACACAATTACTCAGAGGTATTTTATGTTAAACTGTTAAATAAACATCTGATTGGCATTTAACTCTGTGTGGCCTCCCTCTTTGTTTCCAGCCTTAAAGGTGGGGTAGGTAATTTTGGAGAAACCAGCTCGAGATCGCGAGAATTTGAAAATACACAGCCGGAAAAAATCTGCCACTTCCTTACAGAGCCCCTCCTCCAACACACGTTCTTATTATACATCCATGCAACACACACGAACGCGCACATGACCAATGAGGGCACGAGATAAGTTTGTGCACAGATGGAAGGCTGACAGGCAGGTAGGCCATCCAGTTATTTTAGCCGGGCCGGCTAAAATGATTGGTCGTACTTTTTACAGTACTACGGCTTCCACAGGTGATTTTTTTATGGATTTTTTGTCAAAGCACTTAAGATATTCATTGCTATCGGATGTTAAGAGCATTCCATGGAATATAACAAAAAGTGTATCTCGAGCCGGTTTCTCAAACTTACCTACCCCACCTTTAAGTAAGGTTGTAACAACACTAAAAGTGCAGTAACAAGAGCAATTCAATATCTACAGGAAACATGAAACATAGACAGTCACATATTTAATGTAAATATTAGCAGTATTTAGTAGTGCAAAAAAACGTACAAAATGGACGACTACTATATCTACTAATAATAGATAAGACTCAACGTTCGCAGCTCTATTTTACAGGTTGAAGTGCAAAGAGAGCTGTAGAAGATAAGGGAAAAAAGGAACCATGAGCATTTCCAAAATTCCCACTTGTAACATGAAAACATGGAAAGCATCAGAAAATACTCTTAAAGTCTCCACCACCCGCAGAAGGGTGACCACATGCACTCTCCTCTCTGTGGTACCACTAAAAGGTTTGAAAATAAACAAGTGAAAAAAAGAGACTAGTCACTTCACGGAGCTTGAACCGTTCCAGTTTAAAATTGAACACAAAAAATGAAAATGAGATATTTAAAACTCAAGTCACCCATTTACTCTGCACTTCAATAAGACAAAGAAACAGTCAATATCTAATAAAGATCTTTATTTCAGATTTTAAATAGATTTACAAACCATAAGAAAAAAAGAAAATATAAACAAGAAAAAAAAAACATCAAGTGATCGTCAAATATCCACATGTGCATATCAAGGTAGATTGTAAACAGTCCTTTGAAGCCGAACAGCGAGACTCCCCGGGGTTCACTCAGCGCCAGAAAGGATGTCTGTTTGTTTAGTTGTTGTTTTTTTTGTTTGTCGTTTCCTGAGGTTCTTGTAGTTTTCTGTAATTATCTGCTGGGTTTTTTTTTTATCCCTCAGTGATGCCGACACAGAGCTCAGAGAACCGGGGGGGCGAGTGGGGAGGAAAGACGATGAAATAACAGCAGTTTGACAAAAAAATTATGAAATCCCATTCACCCTGAAACCTAAAACAAAAAAGGAGGGGGAGGGGGGGGGGGGGGTCATTCATAGGTTGTGTAATGAACATCAGTCATTATCATTATTACAAGTGTTCATAACTAATGTATACGTCTGTGTGGTGTCGATTAATGCTGCTATATTTAAGTAGAACTCATTCTTTCATGAACAATCCTGGGTTTTTTCTAACAATCAGGTCAATTTCCGTAGCACTTAATACATGTGAGAAAGAAAACAATTTGAAAAAAAAAAAAAGATTACATCAAAACAGTAAAAGAAGCAAACAAACCCCCCCCCCCCAACCCCTTCAAAAGGAAAAAAAGACACCCCTCAGCCCATTCACAATGCAACAGCTTTAGATAAAATGGAGTTTCTGTCCCTGGACACGACCCCCGACCCTGATCTAAAACCTCAAAAGGTGTCACAAACATCTACTGAAGAACCGTTCTCCAACTCATGCTCAACCCTTCCCCATTTTACTCATCTCAGCACACCGTATAAAGCAGTTGGCCAATAATCTAACGGAAACAGCGAGAATGTAAGAGTTAAAAATACTGCTGGGTGTTAACGTGTGTCTGAGTGTCCCGTAAGGAGAGGCCTCTGACAGTGTGGACTGGAAACACTCGCCGCCCCCCCCCCCCCCCCCATCAGTCTGCATCACTCACACTGCTACCTGATCTCCTCTGAGGTCACAGGGTTCATTCACTCAGGTGAGTCAAGATGGCTGCAGCCCAGTGGAGCGTTTCAGAAGAGAGGGGAGAGGGGAGAGGGGAGAGGGGAGAGGGGGGGAGAGGGGAGAGGGGGGGGGGGGGAAAGAGCCTCAGAGCCACCACCAGGGGGCGAGCTCTGATGAAGGCCAGTGCTCTGTAGAGTTAGAATAACAGACGTGAAGATGGATAAATCAAACGTCCACTTCTGAACCGAGACAGTCCGAAGCTCCACAGGTTGCAACACTCCCTATCAGCTTTCCTGCCACGTTTAAAGCACTGCATATTAAGTAGCACTGACTGCATAGGTTGTTTTAAAAAAAAAAAATACAGTACATTGGATTTCAGCAGCTAGATGTTTCTGAATGCTTCCAGGCCACTAGTAGCTCGTGCTTGTGTGATGAAGGCTGCGTGACAGGATCTACATTCCCGTCTTTGTAGCTCGGTTGGATTTTACACCGTTCTCACTCACACCTCGGACAAATCAGACAGATGCTGCTATTAATAAATCCCATTGAGAGTCACAGTATCCCCACCTGAGGCCTTGTGAGCTCGAATATCCCCCTCTGCTGTCTTTCCAACAAGTCTTTCAGATCTGTGGTATCGGGGAGCGAGGGGAAGGCACGAGGGAGTGTGAACAGCTTCTTTTTTATGGATCACTTTTGGAGCAGCACAAGCCCTGGGGCTCAAAAGAAAAAGAACAAGAAGAGGCAGGGCTTCAAACAGCCCGCTAACAGGAGGTCACACACATGGCTCAGAAGTGACTCAGCTTTTCAAAACACACACATATGTGCACTAAATAAGCCTCCCGCTCGTTTGACTCGGATCTGATCGGACCTGGGACGTTACATTCCAGCTCGCTGATGTCGAGAAAAGGCGAGAGCTCTCCAAATTCTCTGAGAGGAAAGGTGGCCATCTTTGTTCAAAGCTGGACAAAGGAGCAGGTCTCGGAGTAAAGACGCAGGACATTTAAACGGGTATCAGTGCAGACAAAGAGAAGCTGTTACTGTACGTTGTGCTGCTGTGTATGTGTAACCTCTACTCAAAAAACTCAATAAAAACATGTCAGAAACAAAAACAACTGCAGCTTGTTTTGATGCATCAGGTTTTAGTGTGCATACTGTGAGAGCACGAGACGGAAGTGAGGACGACGAGGGAGGGAATTAAAGTTCAGTCCATGACGAGAGAGGGGTGTGTGTGTGTGTGTGTGGTATGTGTGGTGTGTGTGTAGTGGGGGAGGGGCATAAAGGGGAAGTTGTCAAGAGTCCTCGGTGCCTGAGTCGTCGTAGCAACAGTCCTCGTTGTCCTCCTCGTCGTCGTCGTCCAGCTCCTCGTCGTCGTAGTAGTCGTCGTACAGCAGGTTGGAGCCGTCGTCTGTGGGCGGGACCAGCGTGCGGACGCAGTACTCGTCCAGCGTGATCGGGACTTTGACTCCGTCCCGCTCTGCTTCCGCCTTGGTCCCCACCACCTGCTTCCTGTTTGGGGGGGGGGAGGGGGAGAAGAAACAGAAAGCGTCAGAACTGGAAGCTTTGAGTTGCATAAATATCTGTTCTGACTTTGGTTCAAAAAGATATCTTCATGACCGAATAAAACCCTTTGATTCTTTCTAAAACTAGATTATTTCAACAACCTTCAAACACTCCCGACCTGATAGGGGAATGATTTCTCTTTTGATGTTTTTACACATTTATATTTGTACTTACTGATCCGTTTTTACTTGCCATTTTATTTACTTATTGTTATTAATAAAAAATGTTGTCACTGTGTTTTTATTTTTTATATCTGAACTAGGAATCAATGTTTTATTTTTGTATTAAATTATTCAAGGTGGGGTGGGAGGGGATCTAATGATATTCTGGCTGCTGCTTCACTCAGAAATAGCACAATAATCACTGTTTGTGCTATACTGTACATACATTACATTTAATACCTTTTCAACACATTTATATGTCCACTTAACTTTTTTTAAATGTACCATGGACGTGAGCTTATTTGTTTTTATTTTTAATTACGTGTGCTTGTCTCTGGTAGACTACTCTTTTTATTTTTGCCTTTTTTATCTGCTCTGGCACCTTTGCTGTAAATGTCCCTGCTATGGGACTTATACAGGATTTCAGATTCTGTCATTATAATGGAACTGTGCTGTGTATTATATGAACTATGTGTTGCCTGGTGGAAATAGTAATCTATACTAAAATATACAAGTTTAAGTAGGACAAGGACTTGTGTATGAATTACTATTCATTCGCAGTAGAATGTTGTTATTAACCATGAGGAATGCTTTGATTGTTAATATTATGTTTGTCTTATTGATGGTTGAAAGGATTATTGTTTTTGTTTTACTTCCATACTTGATTGTTAACGAGAAGTTATTTTGTTTGTTTATCTTTGTATTCCTTTATGTAAGAAAGAACAATGCACATTAATCAACATAGCTATTAAGTAATCCGCATTCTCCGGCAGGTTGATGGCAGTAACAACATACAAGAGCAAAAATGTGTTAAAGGTGGGGTAGGTAATTTTGGAGAAACCGGCTCGAGTGCGCTAGAATTTGAAAATACACAACCGGAAGACATCGGCCACTTCCTCACAGAGCCCCTCCTCCAACACACACAAACGCGCACATGACCAATGAGGGCACGAGATAAGTTTGTGCACAGATGGAAGGCTGACAGGCAGGTAGGCCATCCAGTTATTTTAGCCGGGCCGGCTAAAATGATTGGTCGTGCTTTTTACAGTACTACGGCTTCCACAGATGACATGTTTTTATGTATTTTTTGTCAAAGCACTTTAGATATTCATTGCTATCGGGATGTTAAGAGCATTCCATGGAATATAACAAAAAGTGTATCTCGAGCCGGTTTCTCAAACTTACCTACCCCACCTTTAAGTGTGTAAATGTGTTTGCCTGTATGTTTGTGGACCCAAGGCGGAGTAGCCAATGCTAACGCTAGTGCTAATGGGACGCTAATGGTGACCCTAATAAAGAGTGAAGTGGTCTTTTTTCCTCCTACCTGATGATCTCGATGTATTCTCTGTCCTTGCCCTTGCTGTCCCTCCACTTGCGGTACATGACGGAGGCGTCCACGTTGGCGGGGGAGAAGGTGTTTGGCTCGTTGAGGAGAGAGATGACGCTGAGCAGGATGGTCCTGGAAGAGGGATTAAAATACAGGAGAGCAATTAGGGAGGAGAATAGAGGAAGATGGAGGTAAGACGAGACAAGAGGCATTGAGAAAGCAGGACAAAGAAGTGAGCAGAGACAGAGAGGACATATGGGAGAGAAGGAGAGGGGGAGGGGGAGAGACGGAGGGTCAGACGAGCAGCCGGCTCAACCCCAGAACATCCACCCGTCTCTGCTGGAGATGAACAACCTCCTGGAACAACTCCAATTTCTAACAGGCTGAATTGATGATCATCCTTAAACACTGAAATTCAAAACTGTATGTTCATTATTTATCAAAGACTGTTAAATGGCTGACATTTTGTTCTAATATGGCACAAAGTAATAGGCCTTGTTTTAAAGGTCTCCTATTATACTGTTTTTCATCAATATATTATAGGTCTCAGATATATACAAACATGTCTCTGAAGTGTTTGGCTCCAAACACCAAACAGATCATTGCAGCATCCCATAACCCCCTCTGTTTCAGCCCTGTTTCAAAAGTGCTGATTCTCTGTCTGTTACTTTAGATGAAAATAAGGAGCCCCTCCCCACACCCCTCTGAGAGATATTTGGTTACAAAGCACACAATGGTGCTCGAGGAGGAGATTCAGGTGATAAGGTAGGGGGGGGGGGGGGGGGGGGGGGGGGGGGGGGGGGTTACCTTGGTTGGTGATTGGCTAATGGTGACACAAGCCAACACATCGTTATGACATCATAAAGTGGCCAAAATCTGATCAGCTCATTTTCAGACAGGTTTTTATATAAATGGATCAGGACAAAAAGTGAGAGAATCTTTTTTCCTGAAACTTTCAGAATCTCTTTCCACAGAGGGGACACATGTTGATGTAGAAGAGACATGAAAAAGTGGATTTTGCATAATAGGTGACCTTTAAAGGTTTTTCCTTGATTAGGGACTTGAAGCCGTTATAAATTGCATCCTTAATTACTTCTCACTTTGGTGACGCTCACTTCCAGCAATCAGTAAAAATGTGAGCAACTAGCCGCATCAATCGCTGCATGATTTGTTAAGCTTTTAGTCTGTATTGATCGGTGGACAACGAGCAGCAGGGAAAATGTGGACAGAAGAAGAAGAAGAAGGGTATTTATGTGACATCGATTTTGTCTGTCCAGATGGGTAAAGTGACCCTGGTAACTATTTATTTCAGCCTTGTTCTTTAAGATATAATCTAGGCTTGATGAATGGATGTTTAGTACCTGACGTTCTGCGTGGGGTTCCACCTCTCTGAAGGCAGCTCTCCGCTCTGAGGGTCGTCCACAGGGGGGTGCAGGATGGAGATACAAACATCTCCGTTCTACAGAGACGGGAGAAAACACAACCATGTTCAGAAAACAGTTCATGTATTAGGCACCATAAGGATAAGTGCCACAACATACTCTGGGCAAGTTTCTTAACAGTATAACTTCAACATGTTTATATCACATGGAAAAAAAGTCAGTGAGAAAAACTTGGAAATTGTTTTTATTTAATCTCTTCCATATTATACACATTTTTTATGTTATACCGAAATAAAGCATTTAAAAAAGTTAGTTGTGGGCACAAATAGGTTTAAAGATAGTCATCCACTGCCAAACATTTAAAATCCTTAAAAAGGAAAATAGAGTTCAACCAGGATCCCGTGTTTTCATATACTAATATAAAACCCTAAACAAATGATAATGGATCACTAGGGTATTCATAGGGCCTATAAGGAGTGTGTGTAGGTTTTGACCAATGATTAATACTGTTCACAATTACCTCATAAATGTTGGGGTGCCACATTTTGGTGAGGAAGCGAAAGGCAGGTGGAGAGTACGGGTAGTCGACGGGGAACTTGATCCGAGCCTGAGGGCGAGAGAAGACACATATTAGCAACATGAGAGGCAGGCAGTTTAAAACACAGCAGACAAGTCAGGACTGCTTCCCTCCAAACGCTCGCTGCGTGGGAGAAGCATTTCCCACCAGCTGACGCACAGCACTCTGAATCAAGCTTGTAAACACTGTGAATAACGTCTTCTGAAACATGAATATTATCTGTTGTGTTAGTCATGCGATGTTGACATCAATGTAAGTTTGACATCATTTTTCTTGTTGATACTTTATTTTATTTAACATAGAACAGGTCAGGAGTGGACTGGGACAATACAGATTTCAGGTGTAGAATCTCTGAGATTAAATGTCAAAAAGTATATTTATGTGGATTTAAAAACACGTGCATGGTCCCCAGAAGCTAATCCACACTCCCTCTAGCAGGATTGTTGAGATATTAGACTTGTGGTTAGTGGTAATAAAGAAAGTGTTCAGGTTTTCCAGCAGGAATCTCTTCTAAACTACAAGTTAGTGGCGGTGGACTGGGCTTCCTGTACATTTAGCCGTATTTCTGCTTCACTTTGTTAGTTTCCATTTCCCATGGCTTCCTTTCGTAATTAGTTGAGTTGTCTTCTCTGAGATGAATCCAGTGAAGTTTGATGTTATTGACACTGCTGCATGGAGCTTCACCCCCATGCAGTATCAGAAGAACATTCCACAACCCCTCTGTTATGTGGTCATTAGTAAATGATTGACGAGGTCAAAAGATCCAACTTTACTTAATGCAGAGGTGGAAGAAGTACTCAAATTATTTACTTAAGTTAAAGTAGCAATACTACAGGGTGAAAATACTCTGTTACAAGTAAACGAGTAAGTATAAGCATTAGAAAATACTTTGATTACTATGCAAAATGGCTTTTTTAAGCACCAGATATTTTTTTTTTATTAAAAATGTGTTCATCACTTCACTGTTTAACTTGGTAAAGTGGGGTTTATTTGAATACATTTATACTGACCCTGACTAAATATGTCAAATAAATGTAGTGGAGTAACAAGTTCAACGTTTGTAAGTAAAAGTACACACACACACACAGTCAACAAGCAGCTGCAGAATGAAGACCTCCACCATCCAGAGCAGGAGCATCAATAGTGATTGGGAGAGGCTATAAATAGCAGCTGAAGAGTCATGGCAAACCTGATGGAGGTGGCTGGGCAAGGAGGAGCTAATGACGGTGTAATGTAATATGGTGTGGAGGCAGGGTGGAGGCTTCAGTGCATTCAGCTGCCGAGTGTGCAGGAGGGGGGGCGGGTTGGTAGAGAGACATTGTGGGGGTTTGTCCTCTCCAGCTGTCACTGCAACCCAAGACAATCCACTGCTCAAACCTGTGTTCTGCTATTATATGTCCTAATGCCAACACCACCCCCCCACACACACTGTATAAATGCTCCTGTGTGTGGCGGACCCCTCCTCCCGTTACAGAAGGAGTGCAATGGGTGGGACGACACACGCACACACACACCGACTACACTGATTACACACACGCACGTCACTCACAGCATGAAACCTTCTGCTTATTCCCCCCCCCCCCCCCCCACCACTGTCACATACATACACACACACTTGCTCACATTTGCTGATTCGGCATGGTCAGCTGGTCCTCGCCACAGTGAGCCGACGAGCGGGAGGCAGGGGCAGAGGGGAGGTGGAGAGTGGAGGGGATTTCACTTTGTATAAAAGGGGTTGTGCTCCATATAATAACTGTGCTTAACATTAAGGTCTTATCCCGCTTTGCATGCAATGTGGATGTAACGGGAAATTGTCAACACTCTGTTCAGTGCTATCTGATTGCTGCATTTCAAGGTCTGTAAAGGGAGTCAGTATGTCCTTTTTTTGGCCCTGAATTGCTGAATAAACGACTCCCATGATATAAAACCAGAGCAGGGAAGAAACACTGACCCAGGCCTGAGAGAATGACGCTTGTAGGGAAAAAAAACTAAATCCCTGGGTCTGCCTGACCGAGCCAGAAAGCTGGCAGCCCTTCAGAGTGCAGGGTGCAAGCCAACGCTGTACACATTACAGGCTGGAAACAGTGCAACCCATAGCAGCCAGCAGGGGGGGGGGGGGGAGACAAGGGCCAGGGAACAACGGTGAGAGCTTAGTTTGTCTTCCAAAACAATATTTCCACATCATGATGAAATCTGTCCACTGGCTTGGAAGATAATTTGCGTCATGTCCAACAAACCGTGGTGATTCAGATGAACTTAAATTGGTGCAATTCAAAAGGGGATGGAAATGGTGTTAAATACATAGAGGGCATAAGGTTAAATGTAATTCCCAGTAGAAACTGTGGTTGATGCTTGTTTGTCTGCCAAGAAAATAGCGTGTGAATGAAATGCTCTTCAGCAGCTGGAAAGTCCCAGACATCAAAAAACGATTATTTTAGCAAAGCACCGTTTATCAATCCAGTTTCATTATTCAACTCTAAACGATATCTTAGATACAAGACACGATTGAAAATCAAGGATATGACACCAGAAAAAAACCCTCTTTGGTGACCCACAGGAAAATGTTTCCAAATACTTATTGTCGCTTTTATGAATTAAGCCCCTAAATTGGCCCATGTCTAATGAGGCATCAACACTTGCCATCACATAGCCCCATTCATCACAATCCTGCCAGTCTGAATGCAAGCTACAGGAAGGTGGGGATATGCATTAAGGATAAGGATAAGCATTGATCCCTTTGAGAAGGTAAGAGCACGGTTTCACAATGCAGCTTACCAGGAGCCTTTATTCCTTTTCACGCAATTTCAAACTGTATACCACGCAATGGATACAGTAAACATTAGAGCTCCATGATAGTATGAAACACAATTCAGTCAGTAGGCAGGGGAAGAACTGACACATGTGTGTTCCTTGTGGTTATAGTAGGAAAAACTACAGATTTAAAACCATTGAAAGCAAAAGGTCTGTGAGGTCTACCCAGGCAAAGGATATGTTACAAGCCATATTGGAGACCCCAAAACTTCCTTTATTGTATATATATATATATATATATATATATATATAAAAAAACAAGAATGCTTTTGTTCCAAATGAAAAAGCAAATAAACATTTGAAGCACTGTCAAGGCCAGGGGTCGGGATGGGCCACACGACGGGTCTAAAACTGGGGACGTTGCACGTTATGACCACTCTGTTTCTCAATATAGTTGATAAATGACTATACATTTATGTGTAAACAAATATCTGTTGGCCAGATGAGACACAGCACTATATTGCCAACGCCTGTCATTACACAAAATGTTGCCTCATTTGTGACACATCACAAAAGAAGAGAGTGGCACAAACTGACGATACAAGCCAAAAAGCCCTGTATACAGTTTTACAAAAGGTCCTTTGTAACCTCAAACGCTGTTAATGTGTGGACAAAAAGGTAAACAAAAAGGCATAGAAAAAGCTACTTTGTGACAATTGTTGACGTGAGGACTAGGCCTCCCGGGGTCAGGAATGAAACGGTCGACCTGCCCACCCAGGTGACACCAAACCCTGGATAGACGGAGGGATGGAGGAGAGGAGTGTGATGGAGGTGGATGATTGATTGGCTTTGCTCTGCAGCTGTAAGTAGACAGAAGAAAAGAAACACAAAGAACGATACAGGAGGGTCTTAAAAAGGCCAGTATCAGCTTTCTCTTTAATTTCAAAAGAAAATGTTCGTGCATTGAATAGATCTATTCCTGTTACATATGAGCTTTTACCAAACAACTCCCACTCTCTTCATTCTCAGTGTCTCCACAACACAAGCTCAAAAAGGCCTCTGCCCATCACAAAGTGCTATCTTCAATTCACTTGCTTCAAGATGCTACAGCTGACTTGCATGTTATGCCTCATAATTGGATTAAGACAAGAATTAACAGCATCCACAGTCAGGAGGTGAGCAACCCTGAAGAGCTCATTTGAAGTGAAGCCACTTTCCTGCCAAGCATGCAAAAAAAAAAAAAAACTCCTTACTGAGAAGATCTCTATGAAAATCTCTTTTGGATTGGGCGCTAAAATGCTGCCTTGAAGAGAGAACAGGAACAAGAGTGAACGTGCCCACCGTGTGTAAAGTGACAGCAAGGAGAAGTAAACCAGGTCAAGGCAAAGACCCTGAACAGAACAAATCGTTCAGTTCTCCCCGAGCAGCTCTTTGCCTTCCCTACAGACCTTATCCTCACACACCGAAGTCCTTGTGTACAGCAAATTCCATACACTAACACACACATGGAGGTCCCAGAGATTATCATGTTGGCACCCAGCAGTCCCCCACCTCATTAACTCAGAAGGTTATAGTTTATGAGAAGGAAAGGATAAAATACTGAAGCTTCATTTCCTGGTTTAGACTTAAGCCCCATAGCAACAGGAGTCTGGTCTTTTGCATTGCAAATGAAAGGCATCATACTATCACGTTATGAACGATTTGAGTCGCGTCTATATTAATTCACAATTAGAAAATATCCAATTGGGGGCTCTGTGGTGCGAAACAAGTTTTGTTACACCCCAACATTTGACAAAGGCAGCCCACACCAAACTTTTTGAACCATAAAAGTCGTCATATTCGAAGGCGAGTATTACGCATTGGGCGTGTTGTTTATTGGTCACGTCCATGGTGTGCAAAGGCCCTAAGGGTCTAACGATAATTCCTGTATCTTTATTTAAATGTTCTCTACCAATACAGCAAGCTGGACAGGTTTTTTCAAGTCACTAATTTGAGGATATTCCCGATTATCCTGGATAATGGAAATTCACCATGATCAACTACAAGTGTTTTTTTGCCATCCTGGGTAAATCCTATATCGTCCAATCCCTAAACGCAACAAATGGGACTTTCAAACAAACAACTGGTACAGCTTTGTCTTAAAGGGTACTTCACTGGTGGCCCCTTACAGGAAGAGGAAAAGCACACGTGGGCTTCAGGGGACAGTTATAACTGTCTACTGGGGCCTCACGCTCACCTCTATTCACAGCAGGCTCTGCATTCAAAAGAGGCACCACTCT